GAGGGTCGCACCCACGAGCTACTCACTTGCATGACTTGTGGGAGCAGGGTCTGAAGACGGCTGAGATGGGGTGTGCGTAGCAGATGGGGCACAGGTCTTCCTCGCTGGTGGGCTGTTGGGGGGGCACGAGGCAGTTAGCAGTAGCAATAAAAACACTGTGTCCCAGGGCAGCTGGGCTGGGCACTGAGGCTGCTGCCAAGTGTGGGACCTGGCTGGGGAAGGTGGGGGGGCACTCACCAGCGTGGTGGCAGCCGCCTGCTTGGACTCCTCGCTCAGGTGGCTCAGCATCTTGTCCACCTTCGCCAGCTCCTCCATACTGATATACTCCGTGTCTGTGGGGACAAACTGGGTGTGCATGGGGGTGAATGGGACCCTTGGGCTGCCCCAAGGCTGCTGGGTGCTGCGCGGGGAGAGGAGGCCTGCAGCTGCCCTCAGGGACCAGCCAGGATGGGGATCCCCAGGCTGGGGACAGGGAGGTGGCTCAGCATCTTGTCCACCTTCGCCAGCTCCTCCATACTGATATACTCCGTGTCTGTGGGGACAAACTGGGTGTGCATGGGGGTGAATGGGACCCTTGGGCTGCCCCAAGGCTGCTGGGTGCTGCGCGGGGAGAGGAGGCCTGCAGCTGCCCTCAGGGACCAGCCAGGATGGGGATCCCCAGGCTGGGGACAGGGAACCGCATGGTGGGGACAGCAAGCTGGACATTGGGTGCAGTGAAGGGACAAAACCACTGCCAAAAGTGGGCACGGGACACAGCCCCATCCCAAGCACCAGTGGAGCTGCCCTCAGGGACCAGCCAGGATGGGGATCCCCAGGCTGGGGACAGGGAACCGCATGGTGGGGACAGCAAGCTGGACATTGGGTGCAGTGAAGGGACAAAACCACTGCCAAAAGTGGGCACGGGACACAGCCCCATCCCAAGCACCACCGGTGGGGGACGGCGGGGGAGCCACAGACCCCTGTCCCCAGGGCTAAGGGGACTGGGATACACTGCAGGGGATGCAGACCCCAGCTGTGGCCAGGGACTGGGCCCCGCGCAGTGCCAACACTTACAGGTGTGCAGGGAGAAATGGCGCTTGTCCGTGGCTGGGGCAGCAGGCGCCAGGGCCGAGGGCTCGGCGTGGCCCAGCAGGTACTGGATGGAGCGCAGCTGGAAGCAGGGGTCTGCCAGCAGCACCACCGTCGCGCGCTCAGCCCTGCGAAGGGACACGGACCGCCG